CTTTTAGCTTCTGGGTCAGTGGTTGACAGCTGAAGGAGAACTGTGGAAGCTACCCCTCCATGCTGGTCCCCCCTGATTCCTATCCCACCTTAGGATCACAAGGCCTGGACTCAGATTGCACAACTCTGTTATACAAGTATATTGCTGTCTTGCCAACTTGTTTCATGCAGATGTCACATTCCATGATGTCAAATTTTTGGAATGTGATAGACTTAAAGCTGATTAGAACTGGCTGTGTTTGCTTACTGATTGATACATTAGATTAAGTCAAGCCTGTCCCTAACAACCGAAGTCAGCATATTTGCTGAGAATTTGAAGAGTGAAAGGTTGCTAAACAGAGATAAGACAAATACTAGAAAAAGGATTCTGCTATAATCTACATATTCCAGAGTGACTAAGCAAGAGGTAAGATGTTCCACATTTTCATTCTTGCTTAAATAAATGAATAAATAAGATAAATAAATGCATGCCATCTCAGTGGTGGTTGTAAAATGCCAATGAAATCTTTATGGCAGGAATATCATGGACAGACTCAAATTTTAACTGATTCACAATATTTTCTGAATAAAGTTAATTTTGATCCAAAGTTTGTATGATTTGAGCATTGAGGCAGGTATAAAGAGTCCTATGTTCTTATAAAAAAAAAAAAAAAGCTACTTTGTCCAACAGCTCTTCCCAACTCTGGAAGGATCCCAAGAAGGAGGTGAAAATTCCAGCCACTTACTTGAGCCTATTAAGGTGTTGACCCAGATACATCACTCACATGCTGCAGAAATCTAATTCTTCAGTGAGGGGTGTCCTGTGCATGATGGGACAGCATTCCTGGACTTGTCCTACCACATGCCTGCAGCACTCCAACATCAGTAGTGAACCAAAAACATACCTATTCACCTCTGGTTGAGAACTATTTCCTTAGGGGTCATAAGAGTTAAGCTTATCTTGCTGTAACCTCCCTAACTGCCCTATTTCCCCTGCATCTGTCATTAGCCTTTTCCTCCCAACAAGCTCTGTACTTCCCCTACCCCAACTTTTCACCCACCCAGCTTTAACTTCACCTGTTGATCTGTTATCAACAAGAACTTAATAATCTCTTCATGAAATTTTCTTCCAAGGTTTCATCTATCCCAAACTATCCTCAAACTTGCTATGTAGCTGAGGATGACCTTGAACCCTTGATCTTTGTGTCTGCTATTTGAGTGCCAGGACTACCTCCACATCTGGCTTTTGTGATGCCAGGGATCAAGCCCAGGGTTTGTGCATGCTATGCAAGCTGTCTACCAACTGAGCCACATTTAAGCTTCCTCTTACTTTCTTGCTGTAACCCCAACTATAAGATCACAGTCTTCTCATATGGTATGGTGGGTTTCCCTCTCCTTCCTCACATATTCCTCATTGGCAATTTCCACCCATTTCCCCTCCATTTCTCTAAAAATATCTGGCCCCTGAGAACAGCAGTTGGTATCATACAACCAATGAGCTCAATTTGGCCTAAAATCTGTTTTGGAGAGCCTGAGCATTATTAGTATGTACTTTATATTTTTAACAGTTGAAAAACACCAGGAGATTAATATTTCATGACATATGAAATTTACATGACAGCCAGCCATCACTGCCCTTTGGTGCACATGGTATAAGTCTATATCTTCCATTCCCTAGCCAGATGTCATTGTGCACAATTCGCCAGGTCACTCTTCCATGTCCTTAAAATATACACATGACTGAGATGGTGCCATGCAAGCATCAGTTGACTTAGTGAAGTCCAGAATTACCTCTGAAGAGTGGAATGTTGTGTGCAACTAACGGGATGGAATTCGGAGTTGCACACTAGGTCCTGTACAGTGTTTCATACCAGAAACACGGAAGACAGAGCAGAAGGAGATCTATCGTGTGTTGAGAGCAAGCTCCTGGCTGGACAGGTGCATGTTTAGGAAAGCAGATTAAGGTCAGAGACTGTCCTAATGAGGTAGAAAACAGGGTAGAGTGGGAAGCTCAGCAAAGACAGAGCCCCGGCCTGTATGCGCACTCCACTGGGTTCCTGCTTTAGACTAGACAAATTCAAGAACATTTTAGTTCTAGGAACGGTAACAATATGAGTCAGATACCTGCTGGAGTTTGGGGGGTTTGTTCATTTTTGCTAATTAGATGATCCCAAATAATTTTCTCAGTAGTAAATGAAAATGCTCTAATCTTTTCTTCTTATAATCAAATTTGCAAAAATTAAATACAGAGATGAAATTCTTTATGGTACATACATCATATAAAATTTTTTTCAGATGACAGATGATGATCAATAAACGCAGAAGCCATGACACAGGAATATGGGTTCAGGGCCACAGTAACATTACTAGAACGATAGTAATAATCTTGCAGGCTTATGTCTTTAAGGAAACTTGATGTGCTATCCTTTTCAATTCTTCCTGAATTTTAATATTTACCTCAATAAAGACATGTTCATATGGTATGGTATTTCCTAAAGAGTCTGACATGTAAAGTCTTGTTCAATGAATATGTTTAAGAGTGGGCAGGTGGGAAGTAGCTTTGAACATCGAGAGTCAAGATTTGAGTTTAATTCATGGCTCAGCCACCCCTTACCCCCGCTGTCCATGGAAAAGTCTACCATTTATCCTACTTTCCTGTTCTAGGGGTCTTAATGAGAACTAAATTCAAATGATATAAGCTCCACCCACACCACATTTTGTACAACACGAAACCTTCTCTAACCTCTTGTGTTTCTCCCATCTTCTCAAGAATGTGGTATCACTTGTGTCACAGAAGGATAAAATCCAGCTTTTGACTCCTCTTACGTGGCATCTGCAGGAACCTTGATACAAACCATCAGCGAGTATGTTCACAGGCTTTCTTTCCTGGGCCTCCAAGGGATGGGACCTAACAGCTGCTTGATTATAAAGTACTATTTTAGGTCACAGATGTTGAGCAGGTGACACTGGTAATAACACGGGGGACCATTTCCCATTTTCTTCTTTGCCACCCTTCCCCCATTGCAGTCTGCACAATCACCATGCCATCCCAGACTCTCTCCAACGGGCTTTATGGACAGAGTTATTTCAAAGTTACAAGGCTGAATGATGTCTTCTCTTTTCAGGTTTGTATTTTTAATTTACATTCATTTACTTATTTTTGCAGTACTAAGGATCAAACTCAGGGCCTCACATGAGTCTGGCAAGCATTCTATGCTGAGCTCTCCCTAGCTCTTTTTAGTGTTTCCTATTTCTACAAACTAGAAAACATTTTCCCCAAATGCTATGAAATTTACATTAAAGCAATAACTTCAGCACAATGAAAACTGCATAGTATTTGAAAAGAAAAAACCAAGCGTTGTTTAGAGCAGTGTCTCTACGTCCACTCCCCATCCCAGATTCAATTCCTGCTGAGACCAGAACTTAGAGACAATGAACTGTTCTCAAGACAGTCCCCTGAACTGCTGTCATCCTTTCCACTGTATCAGAAGATGTTGTTACTCAAGTGTACAACGTAAGAACCGTTGAAAAGCAGAAGAGGAGTAAAGAGGCCAGAAACAAGTACACATGAATCAGACAGAGTGATGAACCATCGAGGCCAACAAGGCTACCTGCACCCCTGCCTTCAGCATCTCCTCTAATTTTTAAAACAGTTTTCAATTACTGTGTACACTTTCCTCAACCTCCTCTGAGTCAATTCCTCAGGCTGCTAGCTAGGGGCAGTGCTGGGAGAGTGCTTCAGGTGCACTGTGGTTCAGCCCCGGATTAGTTTCTTCAAGATCCTGGGTAACAAAATGCAATGCTCATGGTAAATCTTCATTTCAATCTATTGAGAAATTTGGGATTTCACTAGAGTAGAGCTGGTCACACAAACTCAGAAACAGAACTTCTGGGTCCATGACATAGAAAGGGATGGTGCATGCTGTACGTGACTCTCAAACCCGAACCCTCCTGCTTCCTGGTTAACAGACACATGAGCACCAGACTGTGTGAGCTATGTCTTGATGATGGAGATGGTGGGTTATTCTCTCTGCGATAGGGGCAGGGAAGGGACACAAATTCTTGATGATGGACTTTCTAAAGGTAGTCTGGTGTATTCTGAATTATTTTCTCCTGCACCATGCAGCCAGGTAAGCTAAATTTGACTCCTAGAAGTATTTCCAGGATGAGAGAGAATGGCGGAGAGATAGACACTGATATGAACATGACTTGCATCCTGCCTCAACGCCATGAATGGGGTGGTCAACCTCTGTGGCCCATTATTCCAGCACCTAGGCCGTATTCACCTGGAGCACATTTCTCAGGGCTCGAGAAGCCCAGCCACCCTTCTACTGCACCTGCTTTCCTCTCCAGTCCCTCCATGCTACCACATGCAATCACTCAAGCTTCCTTTCTGCGAACCCATATAATTTCTCTTAGGTCTATGGGTCCCTCTGTGTCTTTCTATCTGCCTGATTCTGTTTTCCCCAGCTTAGGTGTGGGATTCACAAGGATAAAGATCACACTTTTGTTGTGTACATGTGTTATGTGTCTTTGTACCTTTGAATGGTCCTGACCTATAATGGACACTCAATTAAAATGTTTCCTGAGTGACTAAATGGTGAAATGAGCACATAAAGAGATCTTTAAATTCATATACATATATATATTCATATATATTCACATATTTCATATGTATAGATAAAGCCAATCTGTGAAAGGCTACATTATGTCAAGCCAGTCTTGCATTTCTGTGTGGCATACCATTTATTTCTAGGCCATGGTTTTGTATTTTGAATTCTTTGCTATTTTATAAAATACTAAATGAGTTTGGCAAGGTCAAGTCTATGCTTGCCATCAGCAGCAGCTTGAGTGGGAAGTTCTCCGAGGGAGGAATGGTTTAGTGGTAGAGGAGAGGCAGGAAGCAAGGCCAGGAGGCCCTAACCATCTAGAGGGAAGGGAATTATGGTCAGCACACATGACCTGCAGGCTTTCTCCCGCTCCCCAGTGGCATTCCCTCCCTTTCACTGGGGTTGAGCTTACTTTTCACAGAGATCTCGAACTTGGCTGGGCTTGAAGGCAGGGATGGACTGGGAGCAGGGGCTGGTGGGAGCTGACAGCGGGCTCTTGATATTCTGGATCGAGTGTCTACGGCTCCTTCTTCGGTCAAGGCCCTGGTGCTCGCCCACACTGCCACCAGAACACATGCTGGCCCTCCTCCGGTCCCGGTGCCCACTTGGGGGTGGCTCGGCTGTCTCATCCCCATCCTCATGCCTGAGTGCCACCTGAAAAAGCAGAGTGTATCAGGCAAGTCAAACTTGATAACTTTTCTCAGGCCTGGACTGTGACTGTATGTCCCTCTAAGTGGATTTAAAACTGCTTTTTTTGTTGCTTCTGTTCCTTTCCCTATATTTCAGTGGTCTACTCAATCTCAAAGTGACTTCTACATGTGTCCAGAAGTCAAACTCAATCTGGGATTGCACAGTGCCTGTCACTATGCATTCCATGGATCAAATAGATACAGAAGAGACAACTAAGTATGAGAAATATATGAAATTATCTGAAATCTAAATGTTTTAGTCAGATTTTTACCACTGTAGCTAAATGCCTGAGAAAGTCAACTTTAAAAGGAAAGATCTGTTCTGGGATTGACACTTTTTGCCACTGCGGATTCTATGGGGGAAATCTGAGCCAATTGGCGCCATACCCAAAGGCTACTTTATGCAGGTCTTTGTGGTTCCTTCTGCAGAGGCCTGGTGTATCCAGCTCTCATTGTGCTCCACACTAAATGATGCTCTAAAGCTTTCCAGCTCCATCTGTCCTAGATTATACCCTGCTGTCTGTCCTAGATGTGTTACTTGCCTGAGCGTACTCTGGTGGCAAGCTCTGCTCCCCAGCCTCTCTCATCATTCCCCACCATGGGCTTTGCTTATCTGTGTTTCTTATCATCATTGTCTAGTTTGATTTTCATGTCTTCTGCCTGTCAACCTAGACAATAGGAGCACCTCCTTTTGTGCTAAGCATACCTTTGTGTACACATCGGCTCTGCCACTAATGAACTAGATGTGACCTGTAGCAAGTCACACAGTCTCTGGTCTCTTGTTGAGAATATCAAGGGAGGGGAGCTTCTCTGTGGATAGTACTCAAGCAGTGAGTTCCTCCTCTCACCCACACTGAGGGAGATGACCGGAAGCTCCCAAGCTCTTCTATGAACCACCAGGTAGACAACCTTCAGTCCAGCTGGACCAGGATCAGCTAAGCCCTGTAGCCGGTAGACTAAGCAGCTATGGAGTCACATGGTCCCATGCATCCCCAAATGTGTAAGTTTTCTTGTTTTGAAGATGTTTACAACTTAATCCTGCCCAGTAAGAGAATGGAGAAATAAAGAGGGGATAGAGAGTTGAGGAAATTGTATGTCCCCACATCAGGAAAGCTGGCTTCCAAGGAAGAAATCACCTGACATTTTCACACCTGTGTTCCCCTGACAGGGAGAACAGCCCCAAGACACACAGTTGATAGACAGCAGGTCATCTGCCTCCACCCTTGTCCCCTATTTCCTCTAACCCCAGCATTTAGATAAGACAGATTTGGTATGACCTATCTAAGTGACAGACATATTTTATAATGAGTGCTCAGATATGTGAAAGTGATTTGACAATCTTTTGGTCATTTTATTCCCTAGAATTCATTCCTAAACACACTGTTAAAAGGCTTGGGGCAAGAACTGAGTTCACCCGAGGCTCATCACTGGAAATTCCCATTCCCAAGAGTCTTATGTGGAAGCATAAACATTAAAAGTGAAGTTCAATGTTTGGCAAGTCACAACTGTCATCTCAACTTTAAAACCCTAAGTGGCACTGTGTGGGCAAGTTTGGGAATGAGAACACCTCACCGGTGGCAGCCTTTCTGAGTGTTTCCAGTCTGGTTTGCCCTCCATTTCTGACAGATGCCCTTAGCCCATCTGAACTCTGCCTGACCCGAAGTGTTGACTGTTTCTTATTAAGCACACATTTGCAGTGATGTGAGTGGGTCTAAAGCACAGTTCAGATATTTCTAATTCCTTGACTAACCTCAAAGGTCCAAGGGTCAAGTGACATTCCACTCACAGTGCCTTCCAGAGAAGCAGTGTGCCGGGAGTCGCTTTCACTGCCCCATGTCGAGGAAAAGGGAGATGGACCAGAAAGTACAAGTGAAGAGAAGAATCTGAGGCAATGATCTAGGCAGCACTGTGGTGCATAATTCATTCAGGAATGTTTTGGATTCAGAACCACGACAAAACACTTGTCAAAGAAGAGGAGGAAGGGGGAGGAGAAAGAGTGCAGCCAGGTGTTGTGGCCTATAGTCCTGGCAGCTTGGGAGCTGAGGCAGGAGCATTCCAGGTACAAAGCCAGCCTGGACTGTATAACAAGCCTCTGTTTGTAAATAAGAACAAGAAGAGAATCTCCAGTGAATCACGCTGCAATTATTACAAGACTGCTGATATCATTGATTCTCATGCTTTTCAGTAAATATCCAGAGGTGGGTGGTTTCACTGTGAGCCTTTCAAAGTATTTTAAACCTGTTTTAACTGTGGAAATTTCAGACATACACAACAGACAGGAATCAGTACAAACTGTGATATGTATATCACTCACAGCAGTCTAACAGTTGTCAGTTCAGAATCACTATTTGCTCATTTACATCTCACTTTTTGCCCTAAACCATATGGCCCATTTTTCAATGAAATGTCTAAGATTATATCATTATCATCTGTAAATATTTTAACATATATCCCAAAAAGATTGCTAAAACCATAACTACCCTATTATTGTCCTACTTAACATAATAACATCTTAATATTATCAAATACTAATTTTTGATGGGACGTGCTGGGAGGGAATGCTGGACCTTGTGCATGCTAAGCGCATGTTCCACCAGTGAGCTACACTGATGACTGTGCAGTGTTAGGTCTCCAGTGACTTTCACGACACCCTGTGTCATCCCCTCCCACCCCGAGTCTAGGCATAGCTGTATAACTTGCTTTGAGCAATCTCAACATTTTTAATGGGGCTCAAACCACTATCATTTCTCTGAGTTTTTAGCATAATGTAGCTGTGACCCATGACAGGCAGACCTCCTAGAAACAGACCCTTTTCCACACTGCTGCTTCACACCTACACAATTCAGTTCAGCTCTTAGGTGAGGTGCATGTGGCCTCGACAAGAATCTAAATCAAATTGAAAGCCAGATGATCAAGGCTTAGTGGGACCTTTTAGGCCCACTAAGGTAGCCAAACCACCTGAAAATATCTTATCTGAGCCAGGCCAAATTTCTGATTCCAAGGACCAAGATGAGTGAGTATTGTTTTATACCAGTTGATTATGGTGTGTTTGTTACACAGCAAAAGATAAGTGATATTTTTAATCACCTATGAGATGGAAAGCTCTCCGGGAGGGGGAACCATTTGTTAACAAGCTGTAAAAGTATCAGCTATTGCTTTTTTCAGCCCAAAGTCTCCAGCAGCAAGATGTCTTTCCTTTTACAGAAAAAGACCCAAAGTTAACACATATGATCCAACAAAAGATTTTTATTTCGGACATTTATGAATTTGAAAATTCACATGTGGTAAAGAAATTTCATTGAATTTAATTAAACATGGATCAAATCACCTTTCTGAAATGGAATTAAATTACATGAAATGAGGCCTGTCCCAGAAAGCCCGAGACATGTGGCCACCAGACATCCTGCCCCATTAGGAAGCACCCTAGAAGTCTACCCAAGCTTTCCGGAGACACTTTAAAATTCAAAGTCTTTTTGAGGAAAGTATTGGATTTGCATGGTGATTCTTCTAGCTCTCCTTGCACATATTTAAAATTGGCTGCCTATGTCAGTAAATGTTTTCTAAAATGCCTTAACTTTCAGATAGGAATGAGGATGCAGACTCTGTCTGCTATCCAAAGCATGTGGTTGTCACCCTGAATTATTACTTGGGTATCGGAATAAACTCTACCCTTCGCTGGCCCTGTGCCTGGCAACACTGGCATATACATGTGTGATGCTTGCAGGCAGCAGTCACCCAAGCACTTAATGAACTCTAGGCAGCTGTGTGTTAGGAGGAGGCATGGGACACAGGACCCAGGGTAGCTCAAAGTGACAGACAAGGCTGTCACGAGAACTGCTGGACAGAGACATTAGCTCATAACAGTGCAAACCGGGAGCAAGGCTTCATGGAGATGACACTTGGGGAGTTTGTCAGATAGAGGATAGGAAAAACCCCACATAGACAGGAGAAGAAGGTAAAGGAAGGTGCCTCAGATGACCCAATTTCCATATGCACGAAAGAGGGGAGTTGAGTAACGGAACCATCAAAGGCATCAGTGGCAACTGTGGCCATGTACAAGCCTCACTTAGGTAGACTATGGAATGGGAAGGCAGCAATACCCACCACCAAGCAACCCCCAGAGCTTGCTTCCATGAGAATCACATCAGTAGATGAATACAGAGAAGGGAGCTCTCTCACATCCTTTCCAAGCCCGCTACTTTCCTGTATTAGCCAATCACGTATGCTGAATGATAACGCAGACCAACATGTTCAGACAGACATCAGGGCTCCTTCTACACCCAGCCGTTCAGACCAACATGAATGGACAGACATCAGGGCTCCTTCTATACCCAGCCATTCATTACTGACCAGCAAGCCAAAGAATGCACACTCATCCAGAAACAAAAGAAAAGTAGATGATTCCCACACTGTTTCCTCCGTCCCGATATGACGGAGCTGTTTGTAAACAGCAGCTTCCCAACATGAGCCAGGAAATTCTGACAACTCTGCCTACAATTTAAATACTGTCATATTTGTATTTTAAATGGTATCACATGTTATGAATACAAGCAATGAGGTTTAATGTTTAATTTTGATTTTCCTTGTGACATACCATAGCAAACAGAAAAGCACTTTAATAAGGCAAGAGCAAACACAGAAGAAAGCACAATGTTGCATAGCATCTTTAAAGCACTGTTTTATGTTCCTGGAATGGTGACATGCACCTGTAATCCTAGCACTTGGGAGGTGGAGTCAGGAGGATTTGGTGTTGAAGGTCACCTTTGGCCTCATGTGGAGTCTGAGGCTAGCCTGGGCTACATGAGATTCTGTCTTTAAAATGGGGGATGAGATTTTCCCAAAATACCCATGAATTTTCACATCACATTACATATTATGCAGGGGAGTGGCCTCCTCTCCCCCTAGCTCCCTCTCCCTCCCTCCCTTTCCTTCCTCATCCCTGACCCTGCCTCTATACCTGATTTCTCCTTGAGTACACATACTGACAACAGAGCACATGTGCTTCAAAACAGAATAGCTCTGAGTTTCCTCTGTGTCAAAGGTTCCTAAGCTCGAGCACATATTGGGGTCTCCTGGAAGGCTTGTGAGGACAAGATTTCTGTCCCCACTCCTAGAGTTTCTGATTCTAGAAGCCTGAGTAAGATCCAAAAGCTTGCAGTTCTACAAACTTTCTCATGGTGTGGAAGCCCTGTACCACACTTAGAACCCTGGTCTGGAGAACATGTGACATCACCCTTTGACATTTGTTGATTCTGAGGATGACTTAAAAAAGGAGAATTCTGCTACCTCATAGGTATTAAACTGCTCCAGCAGGTCCAGATCTGTCCCTTTCTTGTTCAGGTGCCTCTGGGACACAGCGGCGATGCCCAGCTCCTCCAAGCAGTCTACCACGTCATAGAAGGTGTCTTGATCTGGCAGCCCTGCCAATGTCTACAAGAGAAGAATAGCATACAGCCATATCTTAGGGGAATGTCACAAGGCAATGAAGACATGTTTATGTGGTAGCCAGCATCCTCAATTCTAACAACCCACAACAGTGCAAGACACATGACAAACTCATTCAATGACGAAATCTGGGAGCAAACAGAGTGAACTCAGGACTCTTGCCCCTGGGATAGAGTGCAGAAGGAGCCCCTGCATCCCAGTGGGGGCTGGGAACTCCTATGGGTGAGGTGTTGAACTAATCATTAGACTACCTAGGGGAAGGGATTTAGAAGGTGTTTGTCAAGATTCCAAATCAGATAGTCTTCCTTGGTAAGTGGACAAACCCTTTAAAAGAGGGCATAGGTCTCCCTTGAGCTCAGGCTGGTTTGGAAGACAGAGCAAGACTCAATGAACTGAACAGCTGTATGGAAAGGAGTCCAGCAGACAACCACAAAAAGCTGCTAGAGTCCGTCCTGGCCAATGTCTTGACTACAGACTTAGAAACCCTGAGCAAACAATCTAGTAAGGACCAGTCTGGGCTCCTGCCCCTTGGGAACTTCGAAGTGAAAAATGTGCATTGCTCTAAGTGACCAAGCTTTGGGATTTGTCACGTGACAGTGGAGATTTAATGTGTTTCTTGATTTTAAATCAACACAGCAGTATGAGTAATAATTTATTGATTCTCTTCTATGAAAGTTCAGCAGGGCCTCTCTTTGCTCTATGAAACATTGGGAACCATGAGAAATTTCAAAACAGCAATCTAAAGTCAAAAAGACAAGGCATTGGGGTGGGGAGGGGGCTTATCTTAATTCTGCCTCTCCTATAGGAGGATACCCTCAGCACGGTCCTGCTCAGAACACAAGAAGCCTTGTGAGGTAGTGCAAGCCCCTCATCTTACATATGAGGGAGCTGGAGGCTCAGAGAGGGGAGGGATTTCACAGGTGACCAGAAATTACTGTAGACTGGGGGGAAGCCCCCATAAGCTCACCCCCTGGTTTCCAGAAAAACTCAAACCTTTAGAGGACAAGAAGTGGGGGATGGTAATGCTAGGTAGGAGCAGAGAGGATAACTGGATACCCCAAACCACGTTACTACAGAGTAGGCAACTCAAGGAAGGCAGGCTAGATGGACTGCCTCCACTCTCTCCACTTCCCCACTCCCATATGTGGAGTCAACAGGGTCTCTCTCTCTCTCTCTCTCTCTCTCTCTCTCTCTCTCTCTCTCTCTCTCTGTGTGTGTGTGTGTGTGTGTGTGTGTGTGTGTCTAGGCCAGAGGATTATTTTGTTGTTGTTCCAGTGTTTTCCTCAATGGCTTTCCAACTTAACATTTGATACAGGGTGTCTCACTGAGCTAGGAGTTCACTAATTCAGTTAGACTAGCTGGCCAATGGGCTTCAGGAATCTTCCTATCTCACACATACCAACCTGCCTTTACATGGATGCTAAGGACCACTCTCAGATCCTCAAGTTCTCCTGTTCCTATGGCACTTTACTGACTGAACCATCTCCCCAGCACCATAGGTTCTTCTTCACTTAAAAACCCTGGAGCTTTTAAATAATTGAACAGCCAGCTCTCCACAACAGGCAGATGTGAAGCCTTTGCCAAGTAACAGGAACAGAATTGAAGATGCAAGCAGCATAGTTTCATCATTCCATTATGAAAAAGGTGAGTTTGGGTTGAGCCTGTGGCCCTCCAGTATACACATAGGCTACAGTGGGACTGTGGTATTTCCCCCTGTGCAGGAAGGACCCTCATCCAAAACACAAAGTCATCTTTTCCAAGCCACTGCTATAATATGTTCAGCTACCCCTCGCCCTATTACCACCTGGGCCTCTTAAGACACCTACAGCTGGCAAAGACCATGGCCTTGCCAGCAAGTCCTGGAGGCATGAGTTTCCTGTGGTTGGGAACGCCCCACAGCTGTCTTACATCTGGCATTCCTGACCTCCATTTTCTTGCAGACTTTGTCTTTTCAAAATCTGTCACTAAAAATTCTTTACTGGCATTAATCAGAGGCCAAATTCTGTCTTCAAAGAAATTTGTCTCTCCTTGAGTTTTCAGAGGATAACCCTTTATATGGGACAAAACCAGTGTGGTAAAGCCCATGCTCCCACACTTTCCTCAGTGTCACCCATGGAAGTTAAGAGCTGTGACCTTCAATCTCCACCACAGGATAAGTTAG